CGTTGCAAGCCTCTTTCTGTCTCTGACCTTACCGACCACTCTTGTCAGCATTGTGCAAAATTGCTGTCTGCCGACGTTTGCTGCTGCTGTCCAAGTACCTTATCTTAGTTTTCTGGTTCGGTTTCTCAACATACTCATGCCGTTCATCTGTCTCAGTTTACTTCCTGAAATCTGGCCTAAGTTATTGCTGTGCAAAACACACGATGGTCGTGTTGTGCCCATTCGAACAAGAACTAATGTCATATCATAGGTGCAAAATTTGCTTTCATCAATTATCTTCAATCATATGCTTATCAGCTGTCATCATTGTCTATTCTTTCGTGAAAAACGGTATTAATAAAACTGAAACGTTTGAAGTGTTCTAATGCCACTGTGATCTCTTGGTGTTTTCGAATAGTTGTGTGTTGAGAAGGATTAAGAATAATGATGTCATTGAATAATCAGTCAACTATCATTCAGAGACATGCGTACAAAAAGAAGACTTTCTACTCGATATCAATAGACTTTCATCCATAGAAAATGCAAGAAGAACATGTAAAGCATTCGAATAGCAAAATATCATAACGTTCCTTTCATTTTTCAAATCAGAATATAGAATTAATTGAATCATTGATACATGTGGAATCAAAAGAATTAGTTCGAATTAAGACAATTTCATAAGAAACTAATTTGATTTCTTCATTATCATCCATATCAGGTGTTATTTTCTGGATAACAACTGTCTTTAACCCTTTGAGTCCTGGCAGCTCCTTAAGGGACTACATATGGTTTTCTTGTCACCATTAATGTATAGAATTTAACTGATTTCACAGTTCAATAAAGGCCAGCAATACCTTCAAATTGATACATTACATTACTATTTTTTACATTCGCACATCCCCGTCAATCTCCTTTTCCATCTGAGATTTTCATTTTTTTTTGTTTTATATTGTGTTCATTATCAAGAAAGAGCGATGCTAGGTCTAACTCTAACTCTTAGCGTGTGGGTGTGGATGGGTGTGTAGGTGTGCGTGTGACCGAAATAAATACCTAGACTCACATCCATATTCATCTTTTATATTAGTACGATTGGTGATATCAATGATTTTGTTCTTCATGCATCTGCTAATGAGATTCAAAGAACATTTAAGACAATAGCTTATGCATAAACGACTTGTTTCGTAAGTTATATCGCCATTCTTTAAGTAAGATGTTATATTTTTTCACTTCCATTCACATTCACTCATTTGGAAAAGATCTCAAATGAGTCCCAAGTATTGTATTTGATTATGTAACTCATTTGTCTGTCTTCGATATAATTTCACTGAAGCATGAATTCTTCATTAGAATTAATGAAAATTTTCTATTACTTAAACATTTCTCTATGATAAATTATATGAGGCAATCATCGAATAATAATGTATTTGAACGTAATAACAATCTATCAAATTTTATTATTGAATGTTCTCATGTTACATCACTTCATATTATGTCTATCAATATAGATGGGTGTGGGTGTGGGTGTGGATGGAAGTGGATGCAGGTATTCTCTTCTCTCATGCTCACACCCACATCCACACCCACACCCACACCCACCAACACCCACACCCACACCCACCAACACCCACACCCACACCCACACCCACATAGTATTTTCATTTAAATCAATATTAGACCACCATGGATTTAATAAACATAATAAACGTATTTGTCTTTGACCATAATTGATACATGCTTCTTCAATTGTAATTGAATTATTAAAAATTGTTGAGATTTTTTTTCATTTATTGTTAAACCACCAACAATTAAAAGATGCTTCATTGTCGAATCTCAATCAAGAAAACATTGGAATCGACGAATTTCATCATATTCAACTGCAACTTGATCATCAGAACTATTTATAGAAATATCGATGTTTGATTCTAAACAGCAAAGCAAAAAATACGCTTTATTAAGATATAACAAATTGGATCGAATATGTAGTTAAAAGTCGAAAAGAAAACGATTGAAAAGCTGTACGTACAGCGTATACGAGGAGGTAAGAGAAGCTGGAAAATTTCCCCCCTTTAAATTTTTTCATCCGTTATAGTTTTCTCCTTGGAAATTTTCTTTATAAACAGTTCGTGGGTTATAAAATTTTAGTGAACCAAGTGAGCTATGCAAAAGAAAACCATCTATTTTCTTTCAGGTAGAAAGCTTTCACTCAATATTGCAAGGAAAATTAGTTATTGTTTTATCAAACAAAGTTAATCTACTTAGTAGTTGAGCGGAACTGATTAATTTTCTCTTTCGATCCGAATCATTCTCTCTTTAGGTTCAAACTATTTTTTCTGAAATCTGTTCATTTTCTCTTTAGATCTGAACTATTACCTCTTTGAAGCTGAATCATTTTCTCTATGACTTTGATTGATTTTCTCTTTAGATCTACACTATTTGCTCTGCTATTGATTAATTTCCTCTTTGGATCTGAGCTATTATCTCTCTGAAACTGATTCACATTTCATTTGGATGATCTAAAGAGAAAATAAAACAACTTCAGAGAAACTAGTTTGAATCTAAAGAGAAAATACTTTGGATTCAAAGAGAAAATAGTTCGAATTTAAAGAAATATTAAATCAGTTTCGCTCAGCTATTTAGTAGATTAACTTTCTTGATGAAATAACAACAGATTTTCCTTCAGATCTTGAATGAAAGTTTTTTGTCGCACGAACAACCGTTTTCAACTGACAAATTACTTTTAAGTTTGGACTCTGTGCATAAGATAGATCCCATTGATGTATGAAAATTCTTATAAGAAGAAATCTTCTTATGCCTTATGTACAGTCTTATAGACATTTCACTGCAATTCTAGCCTACAGCATAGTGTCTACCAACAAATTGAATGATGGTATTTCCAGCTGAGATCCACTACACAAATAGATCAATTCGAGTGCAAAATTTTCTGAGAATTTCAGGTCGAAAGAATGTTTTCTTCTCGAGATATTGAAGTGTTAAAAATCACTCCTATCTCACGAATGATGCTAGAGTTTTCTGTTTTTTAAGATTCGACTATCTCGGGAAGGAAATGTTTTTTTGTGAGCTATAATTTTGTAACAGTTTGCTCACTACTAAACCTGTTTGCATACTAAATCTCATCTCAATATATCAATGTTCAGTTTGTCGGTATATATCATGCCCTTCCTAGTCTTAATCCTGTTCATTCCTTGAGAAATCCTGAAAGGATATGTCAGGATGCAGGATCTCAACAATTTTGTCAAATTTTCCTCAGAATTCTGTATCAATTTCTATTAATTTCTGTCTCTATGTTTTCTCACAGTTACACAGGACATTATTCAGGATTTCTTTGGGCTTCTGCCCAGATATTTTTCTAAGCCATGAATACAGAACCATAACAGGATTCTATGATGATTCTGCTTAAGTTCCTTACAAGAATAATAGAGAGAATTCTTTCAAGATTTTGTCAAGTTTTAAACAGGATCTGATCTGGATTCTTACACAAGAATTCAGTCAACTAATGTATCCGAATAAGAAGAGGATCTTAACAAGAATCCAACAGAGAAGTGTATTAGTGGCTCTAAGTGTTAGTTAACATAAGATAGACCCGTATTCACATCCACAAGCACAATATGTTTCTTGATAGATTTCCAGTTCAAAAAAGTATGAAACTGCTAAGGATTCTAATTGAATCCTGTCAGAGTCTTAAAACTCCGTGGCTACACACTTCTTTCAAGATTTAGTCGTTTCCTCAGGAAAAAAAAGAGCGAATCCTTGAAGAATTCTGATTGGATTCGTTAAGGATCTGTCACGAAAACATCAAGGATTTTCCCTAGAAGAGACTAAAATTGCAGTAAAATGCCCATAAGTCTAGACATAAGAACTATGAAGATTTCTTTACATGGAGTTTTTCATACATCAATGGAGTCTACCTTATGCACAGAATCCGCACTCAAAGCGATTTGGCAGTTGAAACCGGTCCTTCGTGAGAGAAAATAGATGTTTTTCTTTTGCATGGTTCATTCGGTTCATTAAAATATTATAATTCGATAAATACTTGTCAAGAAAATTTCCTAGAAGAACATGATGATAGTAGAAAAAAAAGTTAAAGAGAAGGTAGGAAAAATCTCCAATTTCTCTCTCTTCTCTTCTCCTCCCGTAATCGTATGGTCTGCAAGTTACAACTGAGAATATATTTTACTGTATGTGTTCTCACATCGATCTATATAGATAAATTGTTATATGCATTTTATAGAGTTTTAAAAGCTTTATCTTATTAGTAGGTTCAAGAATTTTCATAAAGAAATTTTATTGCATAAAATAAGCGTTCCGTTTATTTCAAATTAACAAAAAAAACCAGGTTTTTATTTTGAAATACATAATGTTTGTTTATTCCTTGTATTTTATACAATAAAGCTATGTTATGAAAATTTTTAAATATTCTAATCAGATAAAATTTTTAAAGCTTTAAAAAGTCAAGATTAAACTTAATTGAAATATGTCTATATAGTATGAGACGAGCACATAAATGTAGCACAAATTTATTTTGTGTTTTGAAATTTTTTGATGTTTTTTTTTGTCAACAATATAACTATAGTGAAAATTTGGCTTATTTTAATATCTATAATATATATATGTAAATGGTTTTATAGAGAATTAATTGCTAAATCTTTAAAAAGAAAAAGAAAAATTTTTTCAAAACTATCAAAACTGAAAACGATACTGAAAAGTTAATTATTCTAGCTCGTCTATCAGAAATACTTTTGAAAGTTATTGACATCACATGTTCATAATATTAGTATAATAATGTGTATGCTTTTATTCCTCTAACATCCATTTATATATCGTTGTTTTAGAGAATCAAATGCTGAATCTTTTGAAGAAAAAATCGCTCAATTTGAATCTATGAAAACTAAAGAAGATATTGAGAAAATACGAAGATCTTCATTCTTTACAGACCACCCGTTAGTTTGATAAAGTTACTCTATGGTAAACATATATTTAAGACAATAAATTCTTACCAAATATTAAATGAGCAATAGCACCACATTGACTAAAACATTGGGGTCGACCACGACCCCATGTTGATGGCCAAGAAAGTTCACCTGATTCGCTTTTTCTTCAAAGAAGAAAATCAGATTTATTTTTCTTTGCTTCACTTGTAAATTTTTTTTTATTAATGCTTCTTCACGTTCACATAAGTTAGCAATATTCTTCATTCGATCGAGTTTTAATTTGTCATGTAAAAATTTTCTTTTAAAATTTAATGTATCAAAATAAACTGATGTATTTGATACATATGCATAATCATTATGAATGAGTTGGCAAATAAAATCGATTATTTGATGAACAAATGCACTCGTATATACTAAAGTTAATGGAGGCAAAACGTTTAATAAGTTCATATCAGCCTTTAATTTTTTATCAAATTCTTTTGTATAGTCAAGTAAAATTTTTTCATCAAGTGGATCTTTTGTATGTAAATAATTAAAATTTAAAAAAGATGAAAGAATATCATAACAATCATTAAATAATTTCTATAAGAAAGATTTGATTTAGTTTAATGCCTTGAGATATATTAAAACGTTTACTTTTCGTTTTGTTTCAACATCAACTAAAGTATCGATATTTTTAAGTAAATTTTCAGCTGTTGAAATTTGTTTATTATACATTTCTTTTTTTTCTTCATCTGGTTCATGCAAATGAATATCTTTTACATGCTGAAAAAAAAAGATAAATTTATTTTATTTTATTTTTTTTCAATTTGGTATTCTACGTTAAATGTACTTTGACAATCTTCAATAATTTTTTGAATGTGAATTGAATTATCGTTTATATATTTTTTATAAGATATTTTTCTTGTGCTCGTTTAATAGTCTTCAAAGAAAAAAAAATTCATAGAAAATGAAAAATACAATACCAATTACTTTACATTATCATCGATATCAACTATATTTATGACATGAAGAACATTATAAGAATAATATTTTTCTATCACACGTCGAATAATATCTGATGTGATATAGAATCTTAAAAGATAAGATAAGATAAGATGATGTACAAAAAAAGAAATTCTAATTGTATTGTTACCGAGCATGACCAATATGAGCTGCATCATGAATTGTTTTTTGGCAATTGTACAATCGTACTGTTTTCTCTTTGATTGGCACAAAGATTTTCTAAAACAATAATTGAATAATTTTAGTCAATGAAGTTGATATTATTTTAATTACTGTCGTGCTAATTGAATCATCATACAAACAAAATGGTGAATACTTGTTGTGTATATCAGCTATGTAGCTTTCCAATAAATTCATATTATACATCGTTATGTAAAAAAAATTGTAATTTTGATCTAGAAAAATAAGAGCAGACTAAATGAGAGATGATGAAATTGTTTCTTAGTCTATATCCATGTTTCCATTTTATCATACAATATCTAGTTAATATTCATTCATAATCATGTTATTAAGCTTTCTGTAATAAACGAGGTTCTTCTTTTGTTTTTTTTTTCTTGTATGATTTGTTTACCGCATAAACACAATCTGAATATTAATCTATAGATGGCATTAAATAACAATAGATTGGTAAAATTAGACGATTTTGATATCATTTTCAAATGCATGAGAACTCTAAAAATTTTTTTTTTACTTCCCTCTCCTAATAGTCCTAATTTTAGACTAATTATTCTATTATAATATATAGACATATTTATAATTATGTGCAAAATTGAAGTCTCTTAGATATTATAAATCGTTTTATTTTCTCATTTCTTTTAGAGTACTCACACATCATTTTTCGATCTAAATTTCGACTCTCACGCAAACAATTTCACATCATGATTTTACAAGAAAATATTAGTTTTTATAATAATGAGAAAATTCAATATAGGATCATATTTGTCTATCTTACGAGAATTTTGATCCAGTTGATGTTTCCTACTGATGAGTGAAAAATCAAACACTTTCTAGAATCTAATAGGCATTGAAAGTTCAAATTTCGATCGAAAAAATTTGATGTGACTACTCTAATAAGAAATGAGAAAATAAAATGATTCATAACATTTAAAATGTTGAAATTTTACATACAATCATAAATATGTCTATGTATCATAATAGAATAATCAGACTAGAATTATGAGTTTTAAAAGATCCAAGTAAAAAAAATTGAAGGGTGCCGCCCTATATAGTTATCGACTTGTCTAAGCGTAACGCGATGACGTTTTGTCCACAGTTTTATTAACTTTTCTCAACAATGAGGTTACCTAGAGGGCTCATGCTTTCGGTGGAAGATATATCTCTGTCTTCCCCACAACCTCTGAACATATGAGCTCGTTTGAACGAGGTATATGAAAATTATAGCAAAAATAGATGACGTAACGCGATGATGAACAAGAGGCAAAAAGTTGAGGGTGACATGATTGTTCTTTATTTTTCTGCGAATGTATACTATTTCCAGTAATTTCGATAATCCCTTATTGTACAGTAATTCCCGTGATGGTAATTTACTAAAAAAAAAAAACAAAAAGAAAATTATAATTGATATATACTAATCACAAAAAAATAATATTTTTAGACTGTTTAAAAAAAGATCAATAAATTAATTTCTATAGTTTTACTTCTCACCATCATTGCAGATCTTATATCGGAATCTCGATATTGATAGAACAACAATTGTTGTTCATATTGTTTCTTGTTAAAGAAGAACCTCATTTTGACCTCAAACCATATGCATCATTGAAATCTGAACGAAAAAAAATATCAAACTATTATTAATAATTAGACCGAAACAATACAAAATAAGTCTCACTCATTCATAGTTATGATGAAGGTTTTATTGATAAAGCAAAAACTAATAAAGGCGTTGTATTACTGCTTGATGAATCTTTTGTCGGTAATAACAAAGATGATGAGTGCTTATTGTTGAAGATTTTAGAAGAAATAAAGAACAACATGCAATTCATCTTCTTATAGACTTAACTCATTCATAATAGTTTGAAATAAAAAAATTTTATTTTATTTTTTTTACTTATGTTGTTTCTCTAAACCATATCAATATTTTTTCGATTAAATCTTGAGAAAATAAAAAACAAACAAATATTTATTTTATTCTAATAGAATAAATTTTATTGAAACGATTTCAACTATAATATTCCTGACCGAAAAGCTTTTTATCACCTCAGATAATTCCCTTGTAAGATCCTGAAAAATGCAAACAGAATTTTTTCATTAAGAATCATCAAAATCCCGGCAAGATCCTTTTGAGATCTTGTTTGAATCCTGTACAAATCTTGAAATTTCACGGCTACACGTTTCCTTCAGGATTTCATCATTTTCTTAGGAAAAAACAGCAAATTCTTGCAGGATTCTTGATGGATCTGTGAAGGATCTAGAAAGGAAACATCAAAGATTTTCCCTAGGGAAGTATTACGCTGATATAAGTGGACACTAACATAGACATCGACCAACGAATTGAAGGATATTCACAACGTTAAAGGGTGGTGACCTCTTTCTGTTAATATTGTCGATACTTTTCTTTTTTTCGACAGTTTTCTTTTCTGTCCTTTTCCTTTCGATATATTTCTGTTCTATCTTTTTCTATTCGATAATTTTCTCTTGATTTATTTTTTCGTTCTTTTTCCTTTCGACATTTTTCTTTTCAATGTTTTTCCATCCATTCGACTCATCAATAACATATTTTTTCTTTTTGTCTATAATTGTTGTCATACAGTCATTCTATTCTTGGCTGACGGAAACAGTCATTAGAAGAAAAAAAAACAAATATATATATATATATGTATATGTGTCTTTTTTTAAGAAAGTGAAAGTGATAAATAAACATGTATCAATCTAACATTCATCTTCTTGATCTACCTTATGAAATATTGTTCATCATCTTGAATAAACTTAATAACATTGATGTTCTTTATTCTCTATTTGGAATTAAGAATGAACAGATTAATGCTTTATTAGAAGATGATGTATTTACTAGCATTCTCAATTTTGTAAGTGTGTCATCAACTATTAATGACAAAATTGGTCGATTTTGTAGTTATATATTACCTCAAAAACATAATTGTGTCAGAAAACTCATTGTTGACGCAACATATATGGAACATATTCTTCTTGCTGGTGATTATCAAAATTTGACTTATTTGGAACTTTTCAATTTCAAGGAGGAGATAGTTTGTTATTTTACAGGTAAGTACTTAACATGCTTTTACAGTAACAAAAAATGTAAAAACATTGATTTACATTTTTTTTTTTTTTTAGATAAATCATCATTTCAACATATTTTTCAATATCAGATAACAGATCTTATTCTTCATAATAATGATCAAAATCGTTTTGGAACATCATTGAAGATTTATAATAGAAATATTTATGCACATATCATAGATCTCTTTCAAAATCTACAGCATTTAACAATTATTACATCATCATCTGTGGACGAATATCCACCTTTTTTCCTATCTTGGTTGCCATCAACTACATATTTCACTTCAACACTTACTACTTTATGTATTAATGTGTTTAGTTTTGATGATTGTGTCTCTTTACTTGATGGTCGTCTCAAACAACTAACTACATTCAACGTTCAATTTTATGCTATCTTCACGTATATGTTGATCCCTAACAATATAGTGAGTTGATATTATTTAAATAGTTGTTTTAATTTAAGAAATAATATCTATGATAAAATAATGTTAATGTTTAATATTAACTTATGATACGATTACTAATTAGAATAGTGAATAGAGTATTGAAATTTTGATCATTGTGAAACAATTAGAAATAGTTAGCTGTTTTTCTTTTCATATGAATCTAAATTGTTTGATAAATAATTATTAGTCACTAACTAGAATTAATAATTAAAAAAGTTGAAAAATAAGTATTTGAATGTTACAACAAACAAAAGAAAAGATTATATAGTACTTGCTTAGAAATTAACTTTTTAATTTGATACTTTTATTTTCTTGAAATATTCAAGAAATAAATCAATTGGATTATGTTGTTGTTTTAAAAAATATATAAATATTTGTTTGAATATAGAAGGAAAACAATTTTCCTTGAATAAACAAATAAAAACTGCTGAATTTGTGAATTTTATATATTCATCTCACATTCTATCATAATAGCTCTGATATTATAGCAATTTTAAGAGAATGAAGAGTATCATATAAAATTTCTTTGATTTAAAAAATATACTTAGAAATACACATACAAAATAAGATGACATTATTAAAAAGAAATGGCAATGTTTTAGATCATATCGATGAAAATATTTCCAAAAACAAATTTTTGTTAATTAGAAATGTCTATAATAATGATAGTTATACACTAGAAATTAGAATTATTTTATTTTATCATATTAAGAATATTTCCTGCAGATTTCATAATCTATTTGAAGTTTAGGTTTTGAAAATTTCATCAAATTCAAGGAAATTGATTATTTTTCTTTTGAACTCATCTCTAACTATTTTCTATTTTCTATTTTC